TATAAGAAAATATTTAATAACTATTTTTAAATTAGTTTTAATATATTTTTTTATATCTAAAATAAATATGTATAACAAAATTCTTTATAAGAAAAATTTATATATTTTTCCTTTTTATCTATGTTATTACAACGCTCTACCACTAGGTATAGAAATTAATAAATATTTAATTATTTTTTATAATATTAATGTGTTACACATTTTTCTAATGGGTTTAATATTCAATATGTCGTAATTCTTAAATTATTCAACACAATAAATAGTACAATAAAATTCTACAATTTAATACTTTTTTGAATTCTTCATCAGTTACATAATTACTTTTAAAAATTCTCTTCTATTTAATAAATTCAATTTTAAATATATTTAATATTTACTCTTCTATTTATATTCTATTCAATTAAATTCAATTTCAAATTTATATTTAACGTTTATATATATATATACATATATATATATATATATATATATATATTTAAATTAAGTGCATATATTCAATTTTGTAAATTAATACATTAAACATTTGATATTCATCTTATGATTATTTTTAAAAATTTAAAACAAAAACAATTTATCTAATATCTCTTCATTTTCTCCATATTAATTGTTTGAGTTTTTTTTAATTGATTAATAGATTTCACAACTATTTAAACTAATAATAGATTTTAGTAATCAAAATAAAAAGTTCTCGCATCATGAGTTCTTACCATGCATTGTATAGGTCAAAATCTAGTTAAATTTAATTTCAAATAATCAAATATGTTATACTACAATAAATAATTTAATATCAATTCATATTGTGTCATTGTTGTTTATAATTAATATAAATGACTATACATTATTTCTTTATTTGTAATTGAGAATTTAATCAAAATTAATCTTTTAATTAATAAAATTATTAATATATATATATATATACTCTATTTTAATTTAATTTCAGATGATAATAAGACATTATGGTTTTGTTAAAAAAAAAGTTTTTTTCTTATAAATAATAACAATTACCAAGTATTTATTATTTTATATTTTTTTATAACCCACATTTTAACCAAAATTTTCACTTAGTTATTAATTAATGTATGTAATTACTAATTAAATATATTTTAAAGTTATTAATTAATTAATATAAATTTAAACAATATCATATAATTTATAACAATAATAAATATTTAATATTAAGTGTATTTGCGTTTAAAAAATAAAATCTCAAAATTACATGATTAAAAAAATTAATACTACAAATTTATTATTATATGGTTTGCATCAGAATAATCGATGTTATATAATTGTTTTAATTTGTAATAGCATTATGAATTATATCTTAATTAAGAATTAATTATAAAATATAACTGTTGAATATAACTTGCATGTTATTCTCCCAAATTTATGTTCTTTATGTTTTAGAGTTGTGAAACTACGCCATGAGGAACAAATGATGGAGTCATTGTTACCTTTAACTTAAACTCATTCACACGAATTTTCATAGTTTCAAAATGCAACACAAAATTGTGTCTGTCCATGAATTGAAATTGATGCGTATATATGTACTTACGAGATACATGCCCCAGTATAATATACTTTTGTCCATTATTTTTGCTTGTAAAAAGCCCTGGATATGGGTTAACGTTAACAACACCTTTGTTCTTGTCTGAGTCACACCATTTTTATGATCGATATTCTTTTCATCATGAGATTCAGGATCTGGTCTAACTGCCTAAAATTTATACCCCTTTTGGATCACTTCTTTAGGGATAAAGTAGATGATGTATGGTAATATCTCTGTTCACATTATTCATTATTCCTATAATATATATGTATATAATATACCATATACCGACACACATGTTGCTTACCAAAAACTTCAATTATTTTTGGCTCTCATTAATTAGTTTGTTTCCTCACCAAATAAATCAATCCCTTATCTTTCTTTCATTTGCGTCTGGGATTCAATGATATACTATTGGTTGGTAAAACTTTTTATCTGATAAACAGTCTCCTCATACGTGTTGGGAACTTTATAAAAGAGGTGATCTTTATTTTTATGAACAAAAGCAGTATGTGACATTACATTACATTAATTAATAAATATTTTTTCCACCACTTGATTATATAATTGTCTGCTGAATTTCCTGTTGTAAGATCGTTAATTTTGTTTAAGTGGCTGTCACTGGTCTCAACAGCTTGGGAAACAGTATTAATATCTGTTTCCTTTTTCACTTTTAGATATGCTTTTAATTCTGAAAAATGACGTCCGCAAGATTTTCTCAAAATTACAAGAGTTCTAAGAACCGCTTTATTCTGTTTTGGTTAGTTAATTAATTGTTTCCTCATATAAATTACACACCATAAAGTTTTAACACAGCGAAAAAAGTGTAGATTGTGCATGTAAAGTACAACCAAAACAACTCATGTTCACAGATTAAGTAATCTTCTGAATTAATAAGGAGAAAGCCTCAATTATTTGCAAAACCAAAAAGCTCACAAGTAAAGTTGTCGTAAATATAATATTTCAAAATATAATTAGTCCCACAAATCCCACAAATGCTTTTACTATATTTACATTTTGAGTAAACACAGCGTCAGATCAACTAATACAAAATTATTTCAATTTAATTAATTGTCTAAATTTCAAGTCCTAATATACAGTTGTGTTAAATATTCAAAATCATTATTTTACCATCTACAATTATCCAGCTTAGATTTTCTCTAGCGGAGAAAGAATCCTTATAGTCTTTGCTTAAATTTTTTTTAATGAACTTTCCTCTTCAATTATTCCCCTCTTTAGTTTTAATGCAATCTTTAACAAGTGAGACAAAATTTACTGAACTTTAAACCCCAATACATAATTTTGTATAACATATGGTGAATATAATATCTTTTGTCTTTTAATTAGTGGGCTTGCCCCACTTTTGCCTCCAGCATAGACGAATTTCATCCATAAATACCCTTGTTGGTAGCGTGTGTCCTCCACACTTTCTCCACACACCCTCATCTATTCTTCATCTTCTTTTTCTTCACCATATCCTCTATTTGATTATTTTTCCTCAATTGTTTCAGTCTTTCTCACCATGTCATCAAATCAGACACCCAAATTCGTCCTCCCAAACAACGACCCTGAGCAACAAGCATCAACAACCCTAGAGATTGAACCTGAGGACACCTTCGACTACTCCAAAAGATCTCAGTGGCTTCGTGCAGCTGTTTTGGGAGCCAATGATGGGTTGGTCTCAACAGCATCATTGATGATGGGTGTTGGAGCTGTGAAGCAGGACATCAAGGTGATGATCCTCTCAGGGTTTGCAGGGTTGGTGGCTGGTGCATGCAGCATGGCCATAGGGGAGTTTGTGTCTGTGTACTCTCAGTTGGACATAGAGGTTGCTCAAATGAAGAGAGAGAAGGAGAGAGGGCAAGGTAGAGAGAGAGAAAAGAGTAGTGAAGAGAGAGAGAGTTTGCCAAACCCTTTGCAAGCTGCAGCAGCATCAGCTTTGGCCTTTTCTGTTGGTGCAATGGTGCCATTGCTTGCAGCATCCTTCATAAGGGACTATAGGGTGAGGCTTGGAGTGGTTGTGTCTGCTGTAACTCTAGCTTTGGTGGTTTTTGGTTGGTTAGGGGCTGTGTTGGGAAAGGCTCCTGTGTTGAGGTCTGCTGTTAGGGTCTTGGTTGGAGGTTGGCTGGCCATGGCCGTCACTTTTGGCCTAACCAAGTTGATTGGCTCAAGCGGACTTTAGTATATAAAGTTATTCTTAGTCATCCCTACATATATATATATATATGTAATTAGTTAAAGTTTGTTTTGCTTTTGCATGTATGTTAAGGTCATGTGTTGATTATGTACTATATATTTATATGGACTCTCTTTTTCATTTTGTAACTTACTACAGATGCTCTTTCTGCCTTCTCTTGTTGAAGGGCCTCATTGTTTTTTGATTAAAAATGATGAGATGAGAGACATGGGTTGAAGAAAGTAGTTTTGGTGATTAGCACAAAAAGAGGGTAAAGTGTTTCAAAGCCTTTTGTAAGTTGTACACATGCAGGTTTATGTATGCTGATTGATAAACTTGGAGTTTTTCATTTGATATGGTGGGTGGAGATATTAGCATAATTTGCTTAACTTAAAATAGATGATTATAAAAAAAAAAAGGTTTCTTAAAATTTGTTATTTTAAAAGCAGATAAAATTGGCTTAATAAAAAAAAGCAGAAAATATATTGTTTATTTTAAAATGAAGCAGTTTAGACAAATACACTTAAAAAAACTATTTTTTATATTAAAAAATGTATTTTAAGAAAATAATTTAAACAAAATGGAACATTATCATATTTGAATCAGTGCGCCGTGTTGTGTTAGTTGATAGAGGGAAAGAAATTAAACAAATGATATAGTTAATAACTTCTCAAATTAAATAATGATACACGATTTTCTTTTTCTTTTTAATTTTCCGATGAGTTTTCAATGGAGCCTGTTTAATGATGGATTTTCTTTTTCACACTTCATATATGGTCATATATGTTGTGCACCAGGGGTATTGCACTCTCGTTCAAGTGAATGAGATAAGAGCACATTCCTCCATATAAGGTCCCACTATTAGGAAGATTGTTAGTGCATTGAGGGTTACTAAATGTATACACGTACATTAGTAAGATAGTGTTCACTTCAATTCACACCATTTTCTTTATAAAAAAATATTATAAATAATAATTAAAATTGAAACGAAGCACCGTATATTATACATCTTTATTTTTTTTTTTTTGTTATTTATAGTTTTTGAGATTTCTTTTTAGATTTGATTTTATTTAGTGAACCAACTCATGAGTCAACCACCATGTTAATGGGTTGAGTCAGGTTGGCATCTGAACTTGGACATGCTGATTTTCTTACTTCATAAAGTATTTTTTTTTTAATTCCTTACTTTATAAAGTTGGATGTTGCGCTATTTTGGTTTGTGTTGATTGGAATTGAATTTTTATTTATATATATATTTTTTATTTATGTGTGTTGGAAGGGTTTGTTAAATGTTAGACCTTAATATTCAAAAACAAAAAATGATAGACCTTGAGTTTAGACAAAATGATCATATAGAGTTTTATATTTTAATTACCGTAAATTAGTTTAGTAGCAATCTTCTCATGCTATTTGATTGTATAAAAGGGTTCTTGACTGGTAAAGTGGAGAAAAATAAGAATCATGCATTTTTTTTTCTTCTCACCTTTAAAGATTAAAACAAGAAAAGAAGAACGCGTGTCATGTTATAGAAAAGGAAGGGCCTAAGATTTTATTGCAAAGGATCCACACAATTATTTATGACTAATTTTCTTCTTATTCTTTTTTAGAACCCTTTCCTATTTTTAAAAGAAGAGAATAGAACCTCCCTTCCCTTAAATTTTATGTATGTATTAAAAGAAAGGGAACAGAATCTCATGATGAATTTCTTTTATGTACTTTTCTTTGGGAACCCGGCCCTATGACATTATGTGTGATTCTTTGGTTATTTTTGAGATGCTGAACAAACACGTTTTATCCTCGGAAGTCATAAAAGACAAACAGCTTTATTCTATCTCCAAAATTTCATTTGTACCATGTTTGAAACTACCAACATCTATTCTCAACCATTTGGAAAGCATGGGACAATAACTAAATTTTGTACTCAACCTACCAATGTCCTCCACCACAATCGTTTGGCTAGACATCTTTAAAATAAAAGGGATACACAATTATTGTTTGGAAGGAAAATAGAAATCATCCTGTGTGACCTTAATTTGTTCACTTTTACTTGCATAGGTATAGAAAAAATGTTCACCTTACGAGTAACTTTGATTCATATATATTAATTCCTTTTATACATTTATTTTGAATTATACAAAAATACTTTCATTTATTTTTTTTTAATAAATAAAAGAACATATATAATAAGTTGATTTATGATTTTTTGATACTTATCATCCTCCCTTAATAATCCATATAGAATTTAAATAGTTTCATTATTTAAAATCAAGCAATTGATGTCATATTAATTATATATATATATATATATATATATATTCTACTTGATTTTTAATACACGAATTTCATAATTCCCTCGAACGCAAAATTAGCAAAAGAACGTCAAAAGTTATTTCCAAACACTTTTCCCTAATCCAAAACAAATATAGACCAACCCCAAGGCCGTGTCTAAGACATTTTAGGCCTTAAAAAATTTATTTAAAATTTACTCTCAAATAATTGATAATTTTTATTTTAATTTTTCATAATAAATTGTTAATTAAATCTAATAGTTTAAAAATTTGGACATCTCACTTAATGATAATTCTTTCGATAACTATTTTATAACATAGTCTCAAATTAATCTAAAAAGGTTTTTTTTTTGAAAAATAATTATAAATATTATTTATAATATTATATAAATTAACATATATATAACACATTTAAAAATAATAATTTTTTAATATAGTTTAATATTTATAATGAAACACTAATTGTTATTATTATTTTAAGTAATTTCAATTTAGAGAGAAAAAAAAGTCATAATCCTTTGAGAATTTAAGGATTTTATTATGTATGGCAAAGATCAAGCCATTACCTTGGATGAGGCTCAAGGTCTCAATTCAGACTAAGGAACTTCAAAATTAGTAAGAGTTGAAGATAGCGGTTAATGATGAAAGCTTGAATGTCTCAAAGGGGGAAAAGTGAGAAGAAAGGACTAAAGAGAAAGAAGTTTGCATATCGAAATGGAATAGTAACTCAGAGTTTAAGCCTAGATGTTATACTTGTCACAGGATCGGTCATTATAAGAGAGACTGTCCTGAGAAAAGAGGCAAGGAATCAAAAAACACTATGGATTCTTTGGATGTCGTTGTTTCAAATGGTAATAAGAGTGTAGGGGTGCTGGTGGCATCGATATCAAAAGCACAAATGAATTGAGTTATGGATTCTAGATGTACCTACCACATGGGACTTGTGAAGGGATTTCTTTGAGAATTTGGAACTCAAAGAAAGTGGAGTGGTGCTTCTTGGGAACAACAGGGCTTGCAAGGTGCAAGGTATGAGTAATATCTATCTGAGAATGTTTAATAACCGTGAGATTCTATTACAAGATGTGAGGTATGTCTCTAAACTTAAGAGGAATCTTTTTTCAATAAACATGCTTGATGGTTTGGGTTATTCTACTAAAATTGAACATGGTATGATGAAGATCTTTAATGATGCCTTAATAGTTGTTAAATGAACTAAAAGAATGGTCTGTATATTCTTAATGGTTGTACTGTTATTACTCATGCATTTGTAGAAAGTCAAACTCTGTGTGATAAAACAAAATTATGGCATTTAAGGCTTGGACATGTTAGGAAAATAAAATATGTTAAATGGTGATAATAAATTGGATAATCTAGATTTTTTGATCATTACATATTAGAAAAATCTCATAGGGTTAAGTTTGAAACTGGTATGCATGTTTCTAGTAGACTTTTTTAGTATGTTCACTCAGATCTTTGAGGTCCTTCAAGGATGAAGACTCGTGAATGGGTTCCTATTTTCTCATCATGATTGATGATTTTTCAAGAAGAGTGTTGAATTTATATTTTGAAAAATAAATTTGAAACATTTCAAAAATTTAAAGAATGGCACTCTATAGAACATCAAATGGGAACCAAACTAAAGGTTTTAAAGACTAGCAATGACCTAGAGTTTGTTTTAGAGCCATTTAATGAATTTTGTAGGAAACAAGGAATTAAAATGCATAAGACTATAACTCATAATCCTCAATAGAATGGCTCAGTTAATTAGAAGGATGACCAGGACCATTTTGGAATGGTAAAGTGTATGTTGTTGGGTGCATTTTTGCCTAAGAGCTTTTAGGTGAAGCTACATATATTGTAGTGAATTTGATAAACAAATGTCCATCTTCAACTTTAAATTTCAAGACACCTATGAAAAAATGGAGTGGTAAACCAAAAGACTATTCAAGTTTGAAGGTTTTTGGTACGTTATATTTTGATCATATAAAGAAAGACAAACTTGAAGTTTGATCTGTGAAGTGTATCTTCATTGGTTATTTAGAGGGTATGAACGGTTACAAGTTGTGGAAGGTGGATCCTAGAGAGTCTAGATGCTTTATAAGAAGGGATGTCACATTTGATGAAGCCATAATGGTGATGATGAGCAAAAGCCTAGAAGAAAGCAACTTAAAAATGATTAAGGAGAAAACTTAGTTTAAGGTGGAGTCTCCAACTAGTGGTTCTAAGGTCATTGTGGGACGACAAAAATAGATTTTAAAAAATAGAAAGTCTCCACCAATATATATTTTAGGGAAACACTGGAAAAATCTTAAAAGAAAATGGCCTTTAAAAATCAAATTTTGAGTTCGGGAGTCAATTACGCGTAGGGAAGATATTAGCATCCTACGACATCCATTAAAATGGTTACCTTTAATCAAATGTGCAAATTAATATTACTTCAAAATTATGTGTTTCATCGCTAAGAAAACAAAATTATTTGGCTCTTATTTGTACATTGATTTATTTTTAAATCTCATTCTTTTAGGAAAAAAAGAATTATTATTTTTTATCTTTTGAGTCGATAATGATGAATACTTGCTCCTATGTATCCTTATGTGTAGTGAGAAAATCAGACCAATGTAGTTTTTTAAGTAGAAAAATATTTGTGAGTTGACAAAAAACCATGTATAATTTGTTGGTTCATACTATCAGTTGATAAGAGATAAGACTAGGAGAATTATTGCACCTCCTAAAAGATTTGGATACGTTGACCTTATCTTCTATGCTTTTACTATGGTTGAAGAGATACAAGACTCAAAACCAATGGGTTTTAAATATGTTATGGAGAGTAAGGAAAATAATGTCGGTTGTAAGTTGTAAATGAAGAAATGGATTCCTTAGATAAAAATTAGACTTGGAAGCTTGTGGATTTGCCCAAAAATCAAAGGGTAGTTGGATGCAAGTGGATCTTCAAAATAAAAAATAAAAAAAGGTATTTTAGGTGTGGAGAAGGCAAGTACCAGGCAAGGCTTCTAGCAAAGGGGTTTACCTAAGTGGAAGAGATTAACTATAATGAAATATTTTTCA